CCTGCCTGGTCTCCACGTTAGAAAGCAGAAGGCTGTGGGATCTGAGCGCTCGCTTGCCGTGCCCTCCGTGATGTAGAGCAGGAAGACTCAGGCACCCACGAATTACTGAACAGGACCAGAGAGAGGACAGCTAAGAGGACCGTCCCTCTCTGCTGGCCTCGGCAGGAATTCAGGACTGGGCGAAGAACAAAGCTGACAATTCCCTCTTCCAATTGAACCAGCACGTGCGTGGTGTCCCAAGGTTGCTTTCAGGGGCTAGGTGGTGAGGCCCCTGGGACCCCTGGTGTTGCCCACCCCCTCCTTGGCCACTGCCATCCCTGGGTTTCCACTCACTGGCCCTAAGGGATGGAGGAGAACTGCTCCCGAGGGGTTCTGAGGCTGTGAATCGGGTGGGGAACCTTTTTCCTGCCAAGGGCCGTCTGGATACATAGAACACCGCATGTGGGCCCTACAGAAACGTCACTCTTACAGTCAGGTGTCATGGGGTCGGTCGGGACGCATAGAGCCCCCGTGTCCAAAAGAATGAAGCACACCCGGCCCGGCACCCTCCTCACCACTGTTCCTGTGCTTAAGGCCATTGCTACAACTATGTCAATCCAGCTCCGGGAGGGTCTTCCTCTTGGTCACGGTGCCTCCACTTTGCCAAGCATGATGCCCTTTTCCAGGAACTGGCCTCTCCTGATAGCATGTCCAAAGTACATGAACATGAGGCCTCCTTGCTTCTGAGGTACATTCTGGCTGTACTTCTTCCAAGTCAGATTCGTTTGTTCTTTTGGCAGTGGATGGTACTCGGTATTCTTCACCAGCTCCATCATTCAATTTAGTATCAGCCAAATCCCGGTTTCTCATGGGGAGGAATAACATCTGTATACAGTTGTTATACTGTATACAGTTCCAGTTGTTCTTGTGGGAGGTGTTCTGGGCAGAGGGCAGTCGAGGGATGTGGCAGGATGGGCAGATCTCTGAGCATGCTGGGAGCCCTTGAGAACCAGGCTGACCCCTCTGTCAGTCTCCACTCCAGGTTGACTGGTGGAAGTCAGTGCTCAGGAGCTCATGAGTTAGGATTAAGGTCTGTGTCCTTGTGAACCCTGAAGGGGACACTCAGATCCGTGGTCCAAGTTGACTCAAACTACTGCCACCGGGCTGATGAGGTCAGATTGGTGACCTGGCAGTTAGCCACCCAGCACTTAAACCAGTGCTCCACCAGGGCTCCTTAAGACCTTGGTATTGAGGCTGTTAACTGCGAGGCCAGTGGTTTGAACCCACCAGTCACTCTGTGGGAGAAAAATGAGGCGTTCTGTTCCCAAAAGGGATGGAGAACATCCGGCCCTTGGGCCTTCTCTCTATTGAGGTCAAATGACTGGGTGGGTGGCCCAGCCACAGTATGATCAAATTCGAGTTAGCAGTAAGGCAGAGGCCAGGATCAGCCTCTCAAATACATCCACTGCCAGCCTCGGCCCCTGTAACTCCGGGT